AAGGTAATCACCAACACCTTGAATCACACCAGGAAGCCTATGAGGAGCCAGTGCAGCTCATGGAGTAATGGAGTTACGTGGGCATAACAAGATGCTCCCAGAACTACCCGTGCTGATGCATTCTGGACCAAATGAAGCTTCTGGATGGTTTTCAAGGGCAGTCCCATGTAGATCATGTTGCAGTAATTCAATCAGGAGGTGACCAAGCTGTGAGTAATGCTGAGCAGGGCCTCCCAGTCCAGGAATGGATGCAACTGGCACACAAGACATAGTTGTGCAAAGACTCCCCTGGCCACAGCTGCCACCTGCTCTTCAAGCAGGAGCTATAAGTCCAGTGGAATTGTCAGATTGTGCACCAAATCTGAATGGGGTAGTGCCATTCCATCCAGAAGCAAAGATGGAAACTCTGCAATTCCCCGATCTGGGGGACCCAAAACCCATAGCCACTCAGTTTTAGCGGGGTTGAGCCACAACCTGTTCTTCCCTATGTAACCCCTCACAGCCTCCAGACACTGGGAAAAAACCTCAACAGCTTTACTTGGATGGAAGGACAGAATGTATACTGGGTATCATCAGCATATTGATGATAACTGAACCGAAACCAACAGATGACCTCCCCCCAGCAGCTTCATGTAGGTATTAAAAAGGAAGCAGGAGAGGGCAGAGCCCTGAAGCATCCCACAAAGCAGGGGCCTAGGACTTGACTGCTCCCCTCCCATGAACACCAACTGGAGCTGGCCTTGGAGGAAGGAGAACCACAGCAGAACAGTGCCCCCCACCTCTAACCCCCTTAGCTGGTCCAGAAGGATACTATGGTTGATGATATTGAAGCCACTGAGGGATCAAGGAGAGCCAGGATGGACGCACCACCTCCATCCCAAGCTCGCCACAGGTCATCGACAAGTGCAACAAAAGTCGTCTCTGTACTGTAAATCAGAGCTCTTTGAAGTAGTCAGTGAAATAAATTTAATATCTAAAATTCATTTTTAAATTTGTGTAAAATACGTGTAAATGAAAGTTTCAGTCAAAGGAGTGGTGCGATAGCAGTTTCAATTCTGAATAAATATCTGCAGGAAACTTAGTTTCTCATGAACACTTTGCCCTTAAGAGTAGCTTTTGACTCTTCCCTCTTCACAGAATACATAAACACAGCAACAGTGACTAAAACAATTTCCCGTTTAGTAATTCTTATGTTCACAGTCAGGTCTAGTATGCAGATTTTGGACAGTCTTTGAATAAAAATATAACACTCTCACTTCAAAGCAAAGGGGGCTTTTTAAGGCTACTGAATGCGTAGTTGCTACTTTTACTAAAATATGCAGAGGAACAGCCATGTTAGCCTGCTGAAGCAAAAACAAACAGCATCTTAAAAGCTAACATGCCTATTACAGTATAGATTTTGTGGATCAGAGCTTACTTCAGATGTTTAGAATATAATTCTGGTAAACATGCACTGAAAGAGGTGAGATTTTTGGCAACACAGATTGAAAGTTGCAGGTCTGTGCAATTCAACCAAGACTGTAGAATGGGGATAATATCCTTCCCTCTTGAGGAAGTTTGAATTGGGGCCAATCTAGTCTGCTGGCAATTTGTGGGGGGGAAACAAATATACCCCAAACCAAATCCCTACCACCCACATCCTGAAGACAGGATGATGAAAGGCATTTAAAAACACCTACTCCTGAAGTAGTTTAATATATTAAATACATTAAAATTACTTATACCTCTTTACAGATTTTCTTTAAAAATTTGAACTACACAGAAAAATCCAGACAGACGTTCCACATAAATCCCAGTATTAGCAGAGGGAGAACGTTTTGCATGCATGCTAAATTTGTGTAAATTAGTTTTAAGCCGAAACAAGAAAAAGAAGGAAAGAAAATCTAAAGACACTCATAGGAATAGGTTGTTCAATAATGTGAATAAAGTAAATATAATTTCTGAGTCCTTCTATCTGAAGGCAGTTCTCTTAGATATGTCAAAGTGATTCATGTTTTGCTATTAACATAAAAATCTCAGTTTGTTTTATTTTGTATTAAAAGTTATTCTGGTAATATGGGAAAAGCTTGCCATTGCTTGAAATAAAGCATGCAGGCATTCTGTCCTTTAAAACTATATTATAGTCTACATTATACTTTATCTCTGGTTACCAGAAAATCAACTTTAAATTCCAGCTGAGGAAGGAGGAAAGTGTGTTCCCATATAATAAAATTAAAAAAGACACTGAGCAATAATGTTTTCTCAAAATATATTTAATTGAAATCATTTATCACTGGGAGTTTCATGGCATAAATAAAAAGTCTCTGCCAAATAAGATACATAAAGTATTTCTATGATAGAACAATGCGTCTTTCTGAAGTTGGTTTAATATACCTGCCAAGTGTGTAGAGCAAACAGCTCACAAAAAAGAAGAAATAAATAAAGTCATAAGATAATTCAAACAACATTCATCTGGCCACGAGGAGCCTTTGAGATACAAGGGACTACTTCGAGTCCTCTCCAACCAGGTGAACCAGAAGGAGGCAACTACATAAACATTCAGGTCCTGGATCATAACTTAGGTTATATATGTTCAGTTTGTGTTGGGGGAAATGTTTTATTAAATAGCTTTAATATCCAGGCTTATATAACAACTATGGATAAAAATCTAGTTGCAGCTTGTACAAGAATACTGTACACATAGTCAAAGATCCATTCATATCACCCATACCTGGCTTAGAACCTGGTTACCAATGTGACTGCCCTTCTTTGGGTGTTTCTACCCATCCAGCAAACTCCGGCAAAGTTGGCTTACTCTTGTTCCCATCAGTAAACTATTTTTCCTGGCAGGGCCACATAAATGAGCATTCTCTGGGACTGCCCCTGCCCTCTGGAGCCGCATTCCCCCGAAGGATGTACAACCCCAACTGTTCTATCTTGTAAAGTGTTGAAAGCCTGTTTTTCCTCACTGGCCTGGGGCAGGATGAATTGTGATCCTGTTCTCTGAGGAACTTGCCATGTACTTCAATCCATGTAGTGGGTTTTACTGTTTCCCCATTGCTATTTTTTGTAAATTATATTGTTTTGTTATTATTTCTGAGCTAGAAAAAGACAGTTCAGTCTCATGAGCAGCTCAGTCCTAGACCAGTTTATTTTATGGATTTTTTTCAAAAAGCATCAATATAAAACATAGAAAATAATTGAAAAAAGACACATGCAAGCAGCTAGCTAATACAGATTTTTTTTAAGACTGACAACACAGGTTAAATGGAAAAAATGCAGGAATTACTCCTCTGAAAACAAGGAAATGAAACTCACTCTTATTTTCTACAAAACAGTTATGTATTAGAATAAACACCTATATAGAAAAAAAGAAAGTAACTTTAAGATTCAATTTTTAAAGATTTAAAATCAAAGCAATTGTATGTTCTTGAAGGTTTGTGTTTTATTCATTATGATTGTTTGCTGCTTTTTCAGTGATGTTGGACTTGTACGTAGCACGGTGTTCCTAACATTTCTTGAACTCCAGAACTTGACTCTATGAGATCAAGGGATCCAAGGAACCTTAATCATCTCGCCTTTAATTTTTAGGTAACAATTGAGATTTTTAAAATAAAAGCACCTAATTTTGTTGCAAGATACTAAAAGCTCTTTTTTTTTAATATGAATGTGAACCACAACCAAGTAAGAACCCCAACACAAATCCTGAAGTGGAAAAGTAAATGCAGACACTTTTATTTTCAGAGTTAGAGGCCCTGATACAACAATTTTTTGTTTCTAATGCATTTTGCTTGCTAAGCTCAATAGCCAATGAACAGATTCACTGTTGGGACTCTCCTGCAATAAGCTTTTAATAACCTCATTAATTCAATTGAACAGTATGCAAGCCTCTAATACTATAACTGAAGTTTCACTTCTAGCTTATTCCCTGCCTCATATAACCTTCCTGAGGTAATGGGCTAAAGTTATTAAAAACAACAGCATCATACCTTAACTTATAATTCTTGTTCCTATTCCAGACTGCAGATATCTAAAAAGAAATAAGGAACAAATTTCCACTCCCTCTAGAAAGTTATTTTTAACCATCCTTTATAATTTATTAGAACAACAATTGTTTCTCTGTGCTGTAGTATATGTGACTCTGGATGAAGAAATAACACCCACCCCTCCAGAGAGTGCAAACAAATTCAGAAATAATTATCAAGAATAAAGATCACAGCAGGCAAATTTTATCAATCCAAACCAAAGTGCAAGTCAAATGCTAAAAACGGGCAGTGAGAAACAAATAGTATTCTTATACGATACAAGACCTCATTATTAATGCAGGCATAGGCTTTTCTTTCTTTTTTCCTGAGTCTTAAAGAACATCAGAGTCAGCTGACAGAAAAACATAAAAATGCAACACACAAAAAGTGGACTTTGGCCATATCACTGCTGGTTGTTCTTCTCCACCAAGTTTATTATGATGCTGTGAAACGTGGCTTTCAGAGCAGCTGATCTGAACTCTGAGAAATCTCAAATTTGGTTCTAACTGCTGAAATATAACAAGAAAAACAACCCAGGTCCAAAAAAGAATATGCTAGAAAAAGTTAACTTCGTATTTTAAAACTTTATAGAGGCAGCATATTACTGAATACCAGGCTCTATGTCCATTAAACAATTCCTAAAGTCTACTCTACAGAAAAAGTAAAATGAATAAAAGTTTGGCATTGGAAATAATCTTTGGACAATGTTTTAAAGTGTTTCAATATAAAACTGACCTTGGTATCACCATGCAGTAAGCCATTTAACTGCAGCAGCTAGCCAAAAAAATTAGCAGTATATGTGCCTGTATGTTTCTCCATTCTTCTAGATATTGCAAGTCATTCCCAAAATAGCTTCACATGCAATAACCTCAAGAGAGGCTGGTAAACTAATACAGATTATAAACAGTCACAAATTAGGAAGCTGACACCATTTCACAGGCTCACTTATGACAGCACATAGTACACAGGCATGTTGAAAGTGCACTAAAAACTCACCTTATAGTTTCCAGAATCTGTTTTTAATTCAATATCTGGTAAATGAAAGTAGCCCCAAGATTCTTTTCATTTAAAGAAGATGCCTTTTGTGAAACCAGATCACCTAAAAATAAGGAAAGAAAGGAGGTAAATGGCTTTCTGAAAATAGAATTTTACTTAAATCTAAATCCAGCCAAAGCATAAAACAATGCTGGCTTTTTATGAATCATAAATATCTGCATCAGAGCATTGGTCGCTTCCATTACCAGGTTGCCTGCCCCTGGATTATTTATACATTTAGCAGAATTACATGGCAGAGATTTTCCGGGATGTCCAATGAGCAGCTTCATGGTTTGAAGAATCCATTATATAAATATAAACCTCTTGCATGGAGAAAATTAACATGTCATCGAAAAACAGTTCAGTCTAGTCAAGCCTTCTCACATAGCAGTAGCTGCTTTTTTATATAGTGGGTCCTTTAAACTTTCAGTTATTTGTTGGGTATCAAATAGGGCAAAATGTACTGAAATAATTGATTCCTAATTCTGTTAAATAGATAAATAAGTCAGCCTTTCTCGGTGTCCCCATAAAAATCCTCTGAGAAATTATAAACAATTGGGAAACTAGGAAATTACTGAGGAATGCATGGTTTTGTGTTTTCTAAAAGAAAAAACACAAAATGTGTACACTTGTGTGTGTCTGCACCTACGTCTGTCTAACTATGTACCACTTTATCAGGCTTGGTACCCATAGAAGAAAGTATAAACAGACAGTTTTCTATCCATGGCCCATCTTAGAGGTAATAAATGTGAAAATAATCCTTATGGCAGAAGATGACACATAATTCTACAAAATGAACTGCTGGCAGTGCCTCAGAATCAATATATTTTTTTTTCTTTTAAAGTGAATGTAACACCATATATTGATTTTGCATCTTCAATACAAAGCATTTTGGTTCTGTGTAACAAAGATTTTAGGAGACAAAGAACAGTGTCTTGGAAGGGTAAATGAGTTACTGCAATTTAGTTCTAGAAACTTCGGGACATTGTCATAGTTACCCTCTTCCTACAGGTACAGGTGAAGAAAGAAAAATGCACGTGTTTTTGCATAAGCACAGCCCTCCCCCCCCCCCAAATCACAATGGTAGACTTCTGGCACTTGTTACATGTTCAAGTAGCTTTTTCCACACAAACAATATACTTAAAGCCATATGCAAAACTGTTATATATGACAAGGCAGAAAACCTGTCTCACCTTCTTTCTACTTTGCATGGAAAGAAAAGTAGAACTTTCACAAATGTATGAGAACAGTGGTGTTTTGTTCCTTTAGTTCCCCCATACACACACACACACACACATTATATTAATATTTCACAAAATATAGTACCATACAGCCATTTAAATCCCATTAAAGACAAAACTTTACACAATAAGAAGGTAATTCAAGCAAATACTTGGTGAGAGGCAAGTGAAAATTATTTAGAGCGGTTTATGAAGTGATTTTTATAGGTCTAAATGTTAATCTCTTCTAAAAGAGTCCTGTGGCACTTTACTGTGCCTTTATAGTGACTTTATTGTAGCAGATGCTTTTGTTAGCTGGAGTCTTTTTTGTCAGAAGAAGCAGCCAGAAAATAAAGCATCAGAAAAACACCTAACAATGAAAGTGGTTTTACCTCGCAATCTGCTTATAGCACCATTTTTCCAAGGTCTAACTGGAAAATAATTTACTGTAAGTCACTCATCAGCATTTATTTTATTAAAACTTCCCCATGTAGCATCCTGAGGACTGATTAAACAATTCTATCTAATAAGCTAAAAACTAAAAACTAAAATAAATAATGGCTATAGTGGTAAGTGCTGTTATCCTTGTGTAATGCATCTTATATGACATTTTTAAAATCATAACTTCGCCACATAATCTTTCTTTTACTGTCATGTGCATTACTTTTATTCAAAAAGTAATCAAATCTCAGTTTAAGAAACAAGTAATGTTACTAGAGCAGGACGTGCAAAGATCATAAATCCCTGTTCTTTTTAGGATTCGCTAAGGAAAAAAAATATCCGTACAGGCAAAGGAACTGGATGAAACACCTGAACTATTTTTGTGTATTATCTTAAACAAATAGAGACTGAAACTGAAAGCATCCGATGCTATTATTTCCACCACCCATCACAATATTCAATGTAGTATGAAAATGCTCATATCAAGAGTTATTTTGTACCTCATAAAGGAGCACAGTAAAAAACAAAAAAACAAAAAAATCACGTATAATATATACACTTGTAAAAGAAGAAGCATAACAAGTACCTCTAATACAGTAATACTATTTGCACTAACAATTTTTCCCCTAGAAGCTTTTTTTCTTCACTCAAAGTTCTTAGGATCAAGCTCCAATTCTTTAGAAAATGGAATGCACATTCCCAAGAACTATGTGAACTATGTCACAAAAGATCATTTAATATTTATGTATCAAAGGATTTGAAAGATTATTCTACATATTTAAAGAAAAAGGGAGATATCTCTGGTTCTAAAAATCAGGGTGGGGGTGGAGAAGCCCATGGGAAATATTCTATGGTTTAATAATAAATGATACAATGATCTCATTACACAATGAAGTATGTCAGGCATCTTTTCAGTATAACAGTATCATTTTTGAAAATAATTTTGATTAAATAAGAGTGCTGTTAGTATTCCTCTCAATATAATCCAATCTATTTGGGTGTATTCAACTGCATCCATCTATCAATGATACAAAGACAGGTGACAAAATATCCACATCTACTCTCAAAACCCAATAGAACAGATTCTGGGAGGCAGACATAAGACAGGGAGGCACAGGAGGGAAAGACAAATTGTACAACCTCAAGCCTATTCACATGCTAACTGAATGTCACCCACCAAGCTCTTGTTTGCCAAATACTTTTACCTCCTACATGGGACAAACTAAAGTCAGCTGAGAAATATTTCCAAATGGAGAATTACAATTATTCTCTAAGAATGTTCATGTTTCACAAAGCAGTATGTGATAAATCTCCTCCTACTATAGATCATTCAGGGAAAACAATGTATGGATTACGTGCATGGCCATAAATCCACTGATTCTAATACATATTGAAAATTTGTAGGAAGGCAGGGTTATTTTATCACCCAATAGTCAGTGCACCATTCATTACCCAGTCTAAAGCTGAGCTAAAGGTATGTTTAGATGGCTGACCTAACTTTAGAGAAGACAATTAACTGCTTTTATTTAAACAATTTAAAAAAACACTCAGAGAAATTTACTGCAATAAATCTAAAGCATAAAACATAGGTCTAAGTGAAATAATTGGATGAAAAAGTAAATATTAGGAAATTTGGTTTTTTTCAGATACAAGAGCTGCCAGCACTTTTCACATTATTGCAAGCTATCCATTTATGACAGACTTTATGTTTATTGAGCCTGGAGAAACCCAGAATATATATGCTGGCAGGAGGAGGAGGTACAGAGGTTTGCAGACCACTGAAAACAGACACAGCTACCAATTATCTTTATTAATGTAAGAGCTTGTTTCAGGTTCAACAGGCAGAGATCTGAAAATGCTGTTTCATTCAAGCTGTTATGGTTTGGAAATATGGTTGTCAACTGGCAAGGAAAAGCAAAGATTTCAAATGCCTGAAGTCTGGGGTGAAGGAAAAATTATCACCTGCAGCAACTTCACTGTCCTAGTTCGCTAGTTGATTAATCTGTGACACCAGACTATAAATGAGTGTTCATCTGACTACATCCTTCTCCATATTAAAAATTTATTCTACACAGAGTCCATTATCTTCCTGTGCAATTCTACTGTATCAATATCTATATTTTTTAGTGATACAGATCAAAAAGTACTTGCCTTCTAATAAGAACCAGGCACAACCAAACAGATACTACAGTTCATAACTTATGCTTACTGACTGCTCGTTCGGTGACTATTCAAAGTTACGATGGCACTGAGAAAGGAGATTTATGACCAGTCTTCAAACCTGCAGCCATCGCAGTGTCCTCACGATCACGTGACTGCGATTTGGGTACTTGGCAACCAGTGTGCATCTATGATGATTGCAGGATCACGTGATCACCATTCGTGACCTTCACAGCCGGCTTCTGATAAGCAAAGTCAAAGGGGACACCGGCAGGATGCTGCAAGTCATGGTCA